GCCGCTACTCCGTGCCCGAGACCATCATGAGGAAGTGAGCGGGCCATTCTCTTGAACCTATCTACGTTCCATCCGTCAATGCGGTCGGCATACTCACTCTTGTTTCCTTTCTAACATTTCAGATATCGTCTCGCTCAGCAGCGGTCCGACTCGGAGGAGACCGGGGCCGTGACGAGCCCACCGGCTTCGGCGTCGCCCCCGCGCGGCTCGTGCAACTCGCTGTGCGAGTCGCCGCAGCGGTTCCTGCGGCGCGACCGCGAGGTGATGCGCAAGTCGGCGCTGCTGCGGCGGCTGTGGGGGCGCGCGGGCGCGTGCGGCGCGGAGTGCTGCGGCGCGGCGTGCGGCCGCGAGACGCGCTCGCTGGACGGCTCGCGCGCCGAGCTGCGCCCGCTGTCCGGCAGCCTCGCGTCCTCGCGCCACTCGCAGGCGCCGGGCTGGGCCTCGCCCAAGCGCCAGCGCCTCGACTTCCCGCGCGACTTGCGCAGCAGCGACGAGATGCTTCGGGCGGCGATGAGGAACAGCTACGACCGCGCCGAGGAGTCGCGCTACGAGAGGGCCGCGAAGGGCGAGTGCTCCGACTCGTCCTGTCCCTACCGAGGCCGCGAAGCCTCGTCGTTTGTCGAAACGACGACCGATGCGATGACAGACAGCGACACGTCAAAGTTCGACGTCAACAGCGACTCGAATGCTTACACCCAGTATTCCGAACGACTGTCTTCGGATGCCGTCACTGCGGAGGTCAGATCGGAAGAACATCACACGGACGACGTGCCGAGCGAAAATTCCCCTTCTAATACGCAGATGGACGATAACTCTTATGCGGACTCGTCAGATACATTATCGACTTCTATGTCTACGGCGAAGGAGACTAATGGATTTGTAGTAGGGTCAAAAATATCAAAACAAATGTCGAAAAGCGCACACATAGACGGACGAATCAGTGAGAGATCTGCGAGTGTCGAAAACGATGAAAACAATGTGTTACCGTATGACACGCCGCTCACTGTGGAGACTCCGTCGTATGAGCTTCTCGAAATAGTGGTCTCGGAGACCCTGAACAGCAATAACGTGCCCGCTCTTAAGACCACGGTACCTGAAAGCACGAGTAACCATACTTTAAAAGCACCCGTAAATCACAGATTTCCACAAAATATCAATATCGATGAATACGTTTCTAATATTTTAGTGGAAAGCTTAAATTCTCTCACAGATCAACTCGAATGTATGAATGCCTCCATCGGAAGCGATCGTAAAATCAATATCGTCGAGAAAGAAATCAAAGTCAAATTACAAAACACGGGCGTCAATACCATCGTACATCTGAGTCCAACTTCCAACAACCAAATCATTTTCGGTAACGAGGAACTCTGCAATAACGACGGGCGGAAAGACAGCTGCAACAACCCGCAGGACGCGCGCGACAGCGTCACCATCCGCGACGAGATGCTCAGCGTGGAGTCCAACAACAACCAGTCGCGCGCCGCCTCGCCCGCCGCCTTCTACGCCGCGCCGCACGACCACGTCAACCAGGCCGTGCTGCAGCAGATCCAGAAGCTGTTCCAGGACGAGCTGCAGAGCATGAGCGCCGACGTCAACTACCAGGTGGCCTCCATCCCGGGCGTGTCGCACATAGAGATATCCAACGTCGACGTTTACTTGGACGACAACTCCGATCCGACTTTAGATAGGAATGAAACCATCGAGATGCACACGCAGCACAACGTGGAAATCTCAGAAATTATTAGTGGAGTCGGCACCGGCAACTATTATGAGGACGTGGACAACAACGTGGTCGTGCCTCGTTTTTCAGCGTTTCCTCACACGGACTCGATGGAAGTGAACACCTCGTCCTCGGATGACGCAGAGTTGATCGGGTCGGACTGCACGAGTCTCGTCGACAGTCTGGACGACCCCAACTCGCCGAGATCGATTCTTCTCCGCAGATCTTTCAACAACAATAGCAACAAAAGAAGCGAACTCGTGCGCTCAGCCATCGATGTTTTAGATTTGCTGCCAGAAACCTCGCCAAAAGAGGACGAAACGTCTCCCAAGGAGAGAGGCGAAGCCTTTTTTATCAGGATAAAAGACAACGACTGCGACTGTGAGAAGGAAAACGTCATCGTCGCGGATCACATGCCGGAGAAAATAAAACAGCGCTTGTACCGACGACACCGCAAGCGCGAGCTGCGCATGGAGTGCGCGCGCCGCTCCAAGGTGAAGCAGCTGAAGCGCGAGCTCGAGCGCCAGCGCCACTCCTCCGCCTGCGCGCGCCAGCAGCGCGAGCGCGAGTGCGCCGCGCTCGTGGCCGCGCTCGTCGACGAGCTCATCGCCAAGGTCGCGCAGGACGAGTACAAGTGCATGCGCATCAAACAGAAACCCCCGAAAATGCTCATATCTAAATCGGATGAAAATATATCTAGGAAAACGTGGAGAAAGGATGTTGATTTTTGTCACGGCAAGGAGTCTCACAAAACGAGCAGAGGGGGAGCCCCGATCGTCTACATGGACAAACCGGATAGAAGTAAAAAAAAGTCGGATCGACATCACATTCACGGAAAATTATCGCTACTGACGCACCCGTCGTCTTTGTCTCCGGACGACAGTAATGGTCCGAAGAGAATCTATCAAAAATCTGAAATACACGATGGCAATAAGTGTATAGAAATACTCGAAATTCTAGAATACGTAAACGGTTCACAGAGCTCCCCCGAAACGACAAACTCCGACGAGAATCATAATCATAAAAGCAAAAAGTCCCGCATACCGGTACCGGTGTACGAAAGAATTCAAAAAACACCGAAAGGAAATTCACAAAAAGGCCATCACGCGAGTGGCGAAAGACTAGTCAGCTCACCGACGGCCCCTCCCCGAGACAGAAGCAAGAAATGTAATAATCTGCTCGCAAATATGCTCAGGGATGTGCTGGCAGACGAGGACGGCCCGGAGCCGGCGCACGAGCCCGCGCGCCGCGCCTCCGTGCCGCTCGCCGAGCCGCGCTCGCGCTCCAACTCGCTGCGCTTCCGCCGCGTGTTCGACAGCATCCCCGAGGAGAAGAGCAGCGTCAGCTTCGACTCCTCCGAGGACGCCTGCCACAACCGCCGCGCCTCCGCGCCCACTATAGTCGAAACTCTCACCGCGCGCCATAACAGCAGTGGTGGCGGCGCAAAGCCCCCAGAACCGACTGGAGAAAACGAACCTACGAAATCTATAAACTTTACACGCGGAGTGAAAGAGACTAAAAGCGCCGGGACCTCTCCGATAGTGGACGTTGAATCAGAAAGGAGAGAGCAAAGGTTAAAAAGTCAGACCACAATGACGTCTCCTAGTCACAAGTCTGCCGCCACTAGCCCGATGCGAAGCTCGAGCGGCGCGCCGACGGGCGCGGCGGCGGCGGCGGGCGCGGCGGCGGCGAGCGGCAAGCGCGGGCTGGCGTCGCGCAGCCGCGCCTGGCTGGGCTTCACGCGCCCCGAGACCAAGCTCGAGGAAGGTATCGCGCTCGCTTGTGCATCCCCGCTGGTATCACACCGCACAGCTTCGGTTTCCGTAGAGTAGACGCCGAAATCACACTTTTCACGAGCGTTCCCTAGTTTGACCGATCGTTGACCGAGATGTTATTTTTGTTCGCGTTTTAATTTTTAATTCTGTAGAATTACAAACTGGCACCGTTGATCTGGCACATTATTTATTTTATTATAATTTTTGTCATAGACTGCATTTATGTAATCCTACGGTTGTATGAAATTTGAGAAATAAACGAATGAGTTTATCAAACATGGTTTCATTTATCTAAGGTTCCAAGGAGACGAATGTCGAAGTAGACTCGTTCGAGGAGCGGCGGTCGACGACCACCCAGTGTGACCGCGAGCGCGAGTGGCTGCGCACCGTGCGCACCATCCAGACCGAGACCGGCGAGCCCGTCATCGTGGGCGGCGACCGCGCCCGCGACGCCGGCCGGGCGCGCGCGCGCGGCGACACCGGCCGCAAGGAGTCCAAACCCAGAAGGGATCGCGGAAAATCCGAGGCGCACGAGCGAAGGGCGCCGGCGCCGGCCGAGGGCGGACGGGACCCGTCCCCGTCGGGTCACAGGCGACGGGACGTCGCTTTCAGGACCACAGACAAACGAAAGATTCGCACGATCTCCGTGGAGAGAAGCGAGGAAGAGACGGTTCGCACGAAGTCGGTGAAGCTTCCGGAGTTCAAGAGCGGCGCGGGGACGGGCGCGACCAGCTCGAGCGACAGCAGCGACTCGGGCGGCAGCCTGCTGTGCTCGCTGGCGCCCAAGTGGCTGTCGGCGCACGCGCGCCACAAGCGGGCCGCGCGCCGCCGCCAGCCCGCGCCCGCCGCGCCCGCCGCCCACGCCGCGCCCGCCGCCCACGCCGCGCCCGACCCGAGGACGGAATCGTCGGATGGTAAGTCGACAATACGGTGGTTACGGCAGTTTTGAAGATTTATGTTTTTATGAAAATTAGGTACCATTCGTGATCGTCAAGATAGACTATCAATTTTAATATTACATTAAATTGTCTATTCGAGAACGGCACACAAACAGGGTAGCGTTTGTTGTGTTCAAGAGCCCCGTTCGTCGACGAGCGGCGGATGGTCGGTGACGGTGGCGGGCTCGTGCCGCGCCGCGCTGCCCGCCGACCTGGAGATGCGCCTGCGCTTCCCGCACGAGCGCCCGCCGCCCGCGCCGCAGCCCTGCCCGCCGCACGCGCGCCCGCCGCGGGACTCGGACAGGCGGCAGGTACGGTATATGTATTATTTTGCCTTTTTTGTTAAAAAAAAAAGATTCAATAATGCTTATGGGTAAAGAAATTATTTTTGATTGCGATGCAGTGAGTATTAGTTTTTTTTAAACTCGCATGCCGCTAGCAGGACTGCCCCTGCGGCTCGTGCGCGCGCGCGGCGTGCTCGTGCGCGTGCGGCTGCGCGCCGCCGCTGCCGCCCGCCGACGGCAAGCTGCGGCTCACCATGAAGAAGGAGGCTCTAGGTAGGCCGTCTCGATCACCTCCGCCGCGTCTACACTGCACTTGACAACCACTGAAGCTTAATCACGATTATACAAGAAAATCGAATTTGCGAGGTTTGACTTGACTAGCAATAAATCTGGCAGAACTTAACTTCCGTTTAAGCTGTTTACCGCCGTGTAAATTAGGTGTGGCAAGCCAACTTCTGCAAGATTTACATAGTGGTGACAGCTTGCGGAAGTAACCTTCTGCAAGTTTTATTGCTAGTCTAAACCTCGCTATAAAGAATATAATTAGCCTTCAAATTAGTTTCAAAAAATAGATCTTTGACAAAACTCAGAAGAACTATTGCTTTTGCAAGCAAAAAAAAAAAGATTTCCCTTATTTCAGAATAGTAAAATGTTTGCTATATTGCTAGGTGTATAAAAAGCAAACTAAGCAAACCCTGGTCTTCTTAATATAAATAAATAAATAAATCAGTTGTTTATTCTCCCAGATTCTTCAATTCTTGCATCTAAGAGTATGAAGAAGTCTTCAGACCCTCTGCCAGACCTGGAGACGTTCCGCGCGTCGCGCAGCAAGACCAAGAGCTCCGTGAAGGTACGCGCGCCACCAGGCACACCAGGGACCGACAGTACTCATACTTGCTGAACTAGATCTCATCACCTCAGTAGTTAAGCGAAGTGTAGTTCATTCATCAGGCAGATCGGCCGTGCTCTCACGCACGGTAACTGTTGTAAATAATGCTGTATGTACGAGCTAGGAGCTACGTACATACGTAGGTATCATGTTCACGGTATCTGTTGTACAGAATCATACACTTGTAACTGTTAATTTTGGGAACGGGTAGGTAAAGAAATATAGATATTGTCAAGAATGGATTGAATTTTTGGTTTATCAGCTATTTCGATTTTAGACACTCTCACAGCAACTCAAAATAGGGCGCCGGAGCCGGCATTCGCTTAGACTCATGTAGCCCGTAATTATCGTATTAGGAGCCTGTATACATATTGACACCCAGAAGGCGGTTGTTTCAGACGCGACGGGGGTACTCCCTGCACTGCTGGCTGCCCGCCGACGAGCCCACGCCCGTGCGGTACGAACTTCACTAGTCACTTTTCACTTCACAATTCACACGCACCATTTTGTAATACACTTATCTATTACCGGATTAGTGTTTTTTTTTCAAATATCGCCCCGAACTGAAATAGGCAATGTGTTACGTTAAATAATAGGGCCACTTTTGACCCGTGAGCTCCAAAGCGTACAAACATAATAATAATAATAAATTTTTATTTCAGAAAAAAATATTTTCCGTAAATCCCACTAAATAAACGCAATCAGCATTGCCTGCATTTCGGCATTTTTAGGAGGTTCAGCTCAGGGCGGTATTGAAAGCATCTAAGAGGACGGTAGTGTGACACGTGAACGACATGCAATGAGCTGGTGCGCCCGCAGGAGCAGTAACGGGCTGTCGGTGCTGGGCTGCGCCATCGTCCCGGAGCTGAAGCCGCGCGCGCGCACCATGAGCGAGCGCGACCTCACGCGCGCCTACACGCCGCGCCACTTCCTGCGCTCCTAGCGCGCCAGCCGCGCCAGCCGCGCCAGCCGCACCAGCCGCGCGCCCGCTGCCTCCTAGTGTCGCTTGCTGCTAGCCAGGAAGCTAACAGTAGCCACCTCGAAAACTACTTTCAACAACAAATCAAGAGAATGTACCCGTTTATACTTACGAGTATATCTATTAAGAATCTATTCTCGAACTTATTAATTTCATAGCTGGCTATTTCTCATCGCCACGGTTCTCATCGTCACCTTCGTGGCGAATTTTATTTCTAACTTATTTCAACTTTTTGTAAACAAAAATTGTAGCGCTTGATGTGAAGATTGTATTCTCAGTAAATCAGGCAAATAGTGAGTCTCGTTTGGAAGCTTTAACTTTTTGAATTTTTTGATGCCACGAAAGTGATTCTGTACTTCACAGCAATAATTTTTTCAAACTTTACTACTGTAAATGACTCTTAAGTGTTTATAAAACATATATTTTGTCTTATTTTCATAGATAAACAGTAATAATATAATATAAATAGGTACCTACTTAAATACAAGATAAAATTTTACCGATTACGCCACCTACTAAGTTACAAGATTCTACGTAATTGGTTTTAAGGGTGACACTGGTGGCATTCTGAAATGCTAAAGAAGCAAAAAACGGATTATCAGTACCTCAATAAAAAAGAACTCTAACTGATTATCAGTCCCTCAACAAAAATATATTTTTTATTTAGGCCAAAGGGCCTCGTATTTTTGTTATACAACTTTTAAGTCAAACTTCAGATTAAATTTATCTTACAAACAGATACACACACAGTCACATATACAGACATGCATACAGTCACACAGACAAACAGACAATAAAAATACGAGGCCCTTATTTATTTATTGATGTACTGATCTCTACTTACCACGTATAATTTATTAGTTATTAAAATATTGTAAAAACATAAACACCAGTCACTATATTTTAAAATAAACCAAAGCAAGAAATCACTTTCGTGGCCTAAAATCACCTTCGTGTATAAAACACCACGAAGGTGATGCCACGAACGTGACGAAAATTTTAGTTTTTTATGAATTATCCTTAAATTTGAATTTAACGGTTCAAGTTGAATACTACACAAATAAGTCTAACATGTTAAGTTTTCAATGGCAAAGTTTCAATTAAATTGTTTAAATTTTAGAGGTAGAAAATATTGTTCAAGCAAGCGACGGTATGTCTATGGATAATCACAAAAAGTTACGTATTTTTTTCGCGGAGCGACGATCGACCTATCTCACCTCCCCAATGGTCGAAGCGCGACTTACGTTAACCGAATAGAACGCTGTGATTGGTTGCTGGTGTTCGGTTTAACGGCAATCTTGTATTATAACTCAAAATTTTAGGTACCTAAAATCGTGTGACCAACGTATTTCGCTTTCCCAATTCAAAATAATTATAAGAAGATATTTTTTTGACTATTGTGTGGAAAGCAAATTTAATTACGATGATTTTGGTATATGCTGCACACAAATTGAATGAAAATTGTGAATGCAGTAACCAAATGTTTCATTGCAACCGAAGGTGTGACACGATGAGAACGCGAAAAATGACCCCGTTTTTTATCGTTTCATGTGATTTTTTCGTATTATTTTTGCTTCTATTACGATAAAATTTATTTTGTATGTAGCTAAATAGATATTTTATCATCTGATTTCAAAGTTATTGTTCTAACTTATACCGTTTATGAACTATTATTGTGTGACCATCAAATTTGAGTGTAAATGAGAAGTACCCAGCTGATTAAGTTATTCCAAAAATACTGTGATCTATGTAATTACCCGTCCCGTATCCTGTTAATTGTTCTTAAGAGAACAGCTGGTGTAGAATAATGTAGGCAACTACATGATAGGCGAGCTCTACTTGACTTATTCAACACGATGAGTCTTTCCCGCAGAGTGTAAGACCACCCTCCTCCCGTGAATGTTTATCAGAGAAAGAAAAATGGTTATACGAGCATCCGGCCCAACCCTTTTGAACGTCATGGGCAGTGTAGGCCAAGTTCTCCATTTGTCTATGGTAAATTAGAAATGGTTGTCCTATCAGGACTAAATGACCTGATGATCATAATATGATTGATGAATGCTCCTCGCCAACGTTTAGCATTGGTTAGTAAATAAATAAACCCATCAAAAACAATACTTGTCAAAAAAACCAAGTCTCGCAACTCAGTTGTTCTACGGTAAAAAGTTGTGAGATCCATGTAATACCAAGTCCAGGCCAGGAAATCTTTAACGTTTTACATGAATATATTGACTTGGAAATCGCATGAAAACACGTGTAAATTAAGTTATTTAGTGCGATGGCCAAGTCAATATATTTATGTAAAACGTTAAAGATTTCCTGGCCTGGACTTGGTATTACATGGATCTCACAACTTTTTACCGTAGAACAACTGAGTTGCGAGACTTGGTTTTTTTGACAAGTATTGTTTTTGATGGGTTTATTTATTTACTAACCAATGCTAAACGTTGGCGAGGAGCATTCATCAATCATATTATGATCATCAGGTCATTTAGTCCTGATAGGACAACCATTTCTAATTTACCATAGACAAATGGAGAACTTGGCCTACACTGCCCATGACGTTCAAAAGGGTTGGGCCGGATGCTCGTATAACCATTTTTCTTTCTCTGATAAACATTCACGGGAGGAGGGTGGTCTTACACTCTGCGGGAAAGACTCATCGTGTTGAATAAGTCAAGTAGAGCTCGCCTATCATGTAGTTGCCTACATTATTCTACACCAGCTGTTCTCTTAAGAACAATTAACAGGATACGGGACGGGTAATTACATAGATCACAGTATTTTTGGAATAACTTAATCAGCTGGGTACTTCTCATTTACACTCAAATTTGATGGTCACACAATAATAGTTCATAAACGGTATAAGTTAGAACAATAACTTTGAAATCAGATGATAAAATATCTATTTAGCTACATACAAAATAAATTTTATCGTAATAGAAGCAAAAATAATACGAAAAAATCACATGAAACGATAAAAAACGGGGTCATTTTTCGCGTTCTCATCGTGTCACACCTTCGGTTGCAATGAAACATTTGGTTACTGCATTCACAATTTTCATTCAATTTGTGTGCAGCATATACCAAAATCATCGTAATTAAATTTGCTTTCCACACAATAGTCAAAAAAATATCTTCTTATAATTATTTTGAATTGGGAAAGCGAAATACGTTGGTCACACGATTTTAGGTACCTAAAATTTTGAGTTATAATACAAGATTGCCGTTAAACCGAACACCAGCAACCAATCACAGCGTTCTATTCGGTTAACGTAAGTCGCGCTTCGACCATTGGGGAGGTGAGATAGGTCGATCGTCGCTCCGCGAAAAAAATACGTAACTTTTTGTGATTATCCATAGACATACCGTCGCTTGCTTGAACAATATTTTCTACCTCTAAAATTTAAACAATTTAATTGAAACTTTGCCATTGAAAACTTAACATGTTAGACTTATTTGTGTAGTATTCAACTTGAACCGTTAAATTCAAATTTAAGGATAATTCATAAAAAACTAAAATTTTCGTCACGTTCGTGGCATCACCTTCGTGGTGTTTTATACACGAAGGTGATTTTAGGCCACGAAAGTGATTTCTTGCTTTGGTTTATTTTAAAATATAGTGACTGGTGTTTATGTTTTTACAATATTTTAATAACTAATAAATTATACGTGGTAAGTAGAGATCAGTACATCAATAAATAAATAAGGGCCTCGTATTTGTGAGTCAGTCAGTGAGTGACAAAATTAAGTAACTTTGACCCGTTATAATTCTTAAACTACTGGTTCAAATTGAATGAAATTTTAAATATACCGTGTCTTTACAATGCCTGCATAGCTAATGAAAATTCAGCCTTCTAGTTTTATCCACAACGAAGTTACAGGCGGTCGAAAATGGCCTGAATTGCTTCGAGAAAAGGATGGTACGGCCGTGCCGCTTTTTTGCTCGACTTGGTGGGGGCACTGCCGTGCCCCCAGATAAATAAATCCAGCCGCTCGGGCTCTACCAAAGTGTCTTGTGCCTCCTCTAACACGCTCCCAAAGTAGTTATTAATAGAAATGCACACTGATTGTAAATATTTTGTAATAAATTTATATAATGTTATCAATAAAAATTTTCAAAGAAAATGAGTTGTTTATTTAATTCCTATTTTTGAAAGTAGAAACCAACTTAACGTTTCTAAATCCAGCCAATGGATGCTTCAAGCCCGCCTTAAGTAAGGTACGAGCATGAAACTAACTAAGAATTTAATAATGGACGACTACCTAATTCAAACACGTGTGAATTACATTAGAAATTATATTTATTATTTAAATAATTATTCTCTAACTCCAAAGAATCAAAGAGTTTTACCTTTCATCATCTAATGTTGATGAGGTCAACATTAGATGATGACTACGTACTTGAATAACTTAAAAATAAATATGAAAAACGTAATAGGCATGCCTACAAAATTTGAGGTTTGCCCTCGATTTCCCTAGGATCCCATCATCAGATCCTGACCTCGTGACAATAGGACCACCTCAGAAGTCTACTCTATCAAACAATAAAAGACGGAGTCTCCTTGACAACAAACCTACACCACGGTAATCGGTGAACATACCTACATAGAAAAAAAATACGCCAAGAAGTCAAACATAGAACCTCTTCCTTTTTTGAAGTCGGTTAAAAATAAATATCTGGGTTTCATAGAAACTGCTAGTAAGAGGCTCTCAACCGCTGGCAATACCCAGAGATACCTACTCGTAGTTAACACAAAAAAATATCGCCTCAACTCTAGTGAGTAGATTTTATAACGACAAATAAAAAAATAATACTAATCTAGAATTATTTGTAACCAAACCCGCTAATATAAAATTATTGAATTCGACTTTCTCGGCTCCTTCTACAGCTAAGTTTCAACTCTTATTTCTTTTTTGTAAGTTCCATGAGAAGAAACTTGTTACATCTTATTGGTTGCTGTTGGTAGTCCGAATAAAATAANAGTGAGTCAGTCAGTGATACATCTTATTGGTTGCTGTTGGTAGTCCGAATAAAATAAAATATTGTGCAACAGCGGGTGGGTGAAGAAAAACATTTTCTTCACCCACCCAATTCATCGCGCCCGAGCAGACGACGCCGCTTTTCTTCAGTCTGCCCGCGACCGTGACTCGT